CTATAACTGGAGCTATATCATTGTTGCTGCTGTCTTGAAATCCTAATGTTTGGCTTATGTTGCTCATTCTCCTGTGGGTCTTCCTTAACAAATTTTAAAAAAAACCTGTTTTTCTTTTTCCACCAGTCTCTTAAGATACTGGTGCTTCCTGAGTTTTGTCCCATGCCCACGCTTCTCTCTTCTCTCTCTACAGTCCCTCTTGGAACATCTCTCCATGCCTAAACTTGCACTGCCAACTTCCAAATCCACACCTCTTTCCCAAACTCTGGGAGAATAAAGTCAACCCTGGACTGACCTCATTCTCTTCTCTTCTTAAGTTGGAATTTTCTCTTTTGTCTTCTCCCCAGTTTCCCTAGTCAGGAATCTAGGTACCTTCCTTGCTTCCCTGAGCAGACATCGAAAGTCCGTCACCAGCCAGGCCCCATGCTGCTCCCTGGGGATGCAGCGTGTGTGAACACCCAGGGCCTGCCACGCTGGCTGCCAGTGGGGGACATGTGGATGTGTCCTGATGTGTGATTAGTGCTAGCAAGGTAGAAAACCAGGGTCCTGATTTTGACTGGAAAGACCACCCCGGGGAAGGACTTTAGGACTAAGATCTGAAGGATGATTAGATGTTCATCAGACAAATGGTGGGGAGGGGGGCGTGTGGAGGACACGCTAGGCAGAGGGAAGAGTTTGTGCTGAGGCTCTGTGGTGGGAGGAAAACTGAGAAATAAAAGGGCCAGGAGGGCTGAGAAAGAGGCGGGATGTGGTGTCAGATGAGGTGGGGCTGGATGGTGGAGGATACACACTGGGGAAGGCTATGTCAGGCTTTCTGGGCTCCATTCTTTCTTTTCTTTTTATTTCTTTTCTTTTCTTTCTGGGCTCCTCCCTTCCTCTCTCTCTCTCTCTCTCTCTCTCTCTCTCTCTCTCTCTCTCTCACTAAATCCCTGGCTCCTTGCTTTCTTATACACACACTTTTCCACCAGATTGTATCTCTTTTTAACCTTCCCCCCTATTCTTCTACATCATTGTTTCAAATCCTCATTGTTTTATTCATATGTAATGCAAAATAGCCTCTAGCCACCTTCATGTCCTCCTGCCCTGTAATCTTAAGCAGTATTCTAACATGTAAGTAGGATTAAGTTGTTCCTTTGGGTAAAATCCTCCTTGGCTCGCTCATCTTCAGGATGAAGTCCTACCCAGCAATCTCTCCTGTTAGTTCCCCTCCACTTACCTCCCCCTTCCTCTGCTCTGGCTTTGGTGAGTGTCTCCCTGTCCCTGTACTGTGCTGGGCGGCTGTACTCTGGTGCCTGGATGCCCTTGCCTCCTTCGTCTGTGGTGAAATCTTGCCCATCTCACATGCAGCAAAGAGACTCATTTTGGTGAAGCCACGTCCCCCAACTCAAGCCATCTGCAGGCCCCTCCTGTATACTCCTCTCTGTCGCATCTGCTCACAATGTCACATCCACCTCCACGTTCCCTTCCAGTACAGGAATGAGTCCTTGCTAGACTATGAACTTCTGGAGGAAAGGGTCTTGTTTGTCTTTACCCTTCTGGTCCACACAGATGAGCACATATTAAGCATTTAGTAAGTATTTTCAGTTGAAGATCTAGCGATAAAGAAATAACATGGTTTAAGCAGGTGGCAAGAGATGAAGCTCCATCAGTGGGCTCTTCGTAAAGGAGTCTGGCGTCCAGGATCTCTCTGTGTGGTCTGGGTCCTGGTTCTTCTCATGACAAACCACAAGTCACAGAGTGGCCTCCACTGCCTCCCTCTGCTGTGTGCATCCACCAGCAGGGCAGGCGGCCACAGGGTGGGTAGAGTCAGGCTCAAATAGAGTTAATCTTCTAGTGTGGTCGTTCTCAAACTTTCACGTGCATCAGAATCACCTGTGTCATCGGGTCTTGAAAATGCAGATGGCTGGGTCCCATCTCCAGAGTTTCTGAGTCAGTGAGTCTGAGATGAAGCCTAAGCATTTGCTTCTATAGTAAGTTCCCCAGTGACACTGATGGTGTTGCTCTGGGTGCTACATTTTGAAAATCTCTGTTCTAGCAAAAGAGTTTGCTTCAAAAATTACTACTTTCCGCAATGTTAGGGAAGGAGATAGAAGGAGCATTTTGCTTGAGTTGGATTGGTAGGGTTGAAGAACTATTAGTTTGAAATAAATGTGGATAGATGGAATGGATTCTACAAGCTACCTCTGCCCTCATTTCCTGACTTTCCCACAGGTGTTTCTGTGTTATTATCAGCTACTCAACAAATAACATTTTGTGGTGTTATGCTTGGCAACAGACGAGATAGAATTTTTGATGGCAGGAAGGAATCAGTAGGGAACTGCCTTGAGGGAGGTCCTCCAGTGCAGACATAACTATGGTTCAAGGGCCCAAAGGACAGGTGCCTGCTCGGATGGGCAGCAAGTTCCCCATCCCTGGAGTTATCCCCCAACAGGCTTTAGAGAATTAGTGGGAACAAAATAATTAGATAAATGTTTAGATCAAGTGACCATTGAGATCTTGAAATTCAGTGATTAAGGCAAAGTGTTATGATTGGCATAACCAATGGCCCAGATGCAGTGCTGGAGAGCTTCTGATGGGTATCCATCTGTAGAGGCAGCTGAGGCTTCCTGTGTAACTACTAACAAAACTACTTTTAATAGACACTTATTCCTCATCAACAGTATGGTTTGTGCCTAAATGAATTTACATCCAGTGACTCCATTATTTGCTGCTTATTGACACCAATCATTTTAAAGGTTAAGTGGAGAAAGCCACAAGCAGGCCCAGAATGTACCTCAGGGGCCTCTTTGGGTCCAGCTTCCTGAGTCGCATGGAACTAAGATGCATGACACCATTTTATTTTATGTTTTGCAATATTTATGAGAGAGAGGGGAGAGACAGAAAAGGAGAGACAGAAGGCTTTGAATTTATATTTGCTATGCCACCAATTTCAGTTTCAAACTCTTACCTTACCTTATCAAGGAAGTCTGTCAGTTACCATATTCCATAGTATGAAACAAGGAATTTCAGAGAGTCCAGCACCTACAACATGACAAGCAAAATTGACATCCCTTACCCCTCACTTACCATTTGTTGAACATCTCTTATGTGCTATATACAGAGTAAGGTACTTTTAAAATACTATTTATAATTCCTTTTCTTTAGGCATTATTCTAGAGAAAAGGCATAGAGAAATTATGTCTTGCTCAATTTCACACAACAAAACTCTCCACTTCATTTTTGGAAGTTAACATAACCATAAAATTGAAACCTGATAAAGATAGTCCAAAAGTTATAGATCCAAGTCAAGTCTGAGTGTGGATGCAATATTAGTAAATTGAATGTAGTAGTATATCAAATGGATAATATGCCTTACTAAATAGAGTACATTCTAGGAATGCAAGAATTGTTCAATAATAGGAGATATTAGGAAATCAGTATAATTCACCATGTCAACAAACTAAAGGAGAATCATGTATAGTAGAAGTTGAAAGGGCAGCAGATAAAATTCTCATATAATAAAACTCTAAAGCAGCAACAAGAGGGACTACTTAAATTTGATAAAGGCTAAAAATTAGCTCTATTCATCATTCTAAACAGTGAAATACTACATTTGGCTTTATTAAAATAGGAATTGCTTGATTTTCTCATTGCCCTAGTGATTGTTTAAAATGAGTTAAGGTAATATTAAAATGGTCTGATAAATATGGGAAACAAGAGATGATGTTATCTATTTTTGCCAATGGTTATTTCCCAAAAAGCAAAACAAAACAGCTTGGAAAATAGCGGGAGAAGAAACCCTATGAGAAGTCATAATTGTCCCGGGTAAGGTACCTGGTTAACAGCTCTTCTATATACAAAGTCATACAGTCTCTGAACTTGGGCGACTGGAACTGGGGTTTGAACCTGGATCTGATGCTGACATCTGTGCTCTTTTGGCTGGTGTAGCATTTAAGTTCATTGGTATAAACCATCAGTGTCAGTGCCAGAGAAGGGAGAGTCCCTTAGGACCTATAACCAACCATCAACTTCTCTAGCACAGCAGGCCTGGCTTGCTCTGCTGGGCAAGACTAGATGGTAGTCATGGCATTGTTACTGTGAAGGCCCTGAGGTGTCGCTACCTGCAGTCCCATGCCCAGAAGCTGAGCCATTGGGCTGGGAGTGGGGGTGGGGCAGCAAGAGTGGCAGTCTGGTTTTAACTAAAAGCTATGTTCATATTGCCCATTGCTTTGTCTCAAGTTGTTCCATTCCATTGGAGACATACTGCTTATGAGAACACCCTTTACAGAAGTGGGGTTTCAGAGGCTGGCCTGGGCAATTGAGATCACAAGCGCTTGATCCACCAAGGATAACTGAGGTTCATGGTTTTCATGGTAGAAGTGGAATATTTTTCTGGTACAAAATGACTGGGTGATGCATCAGAAATATTCATATGAAACTTTTGTGCTTCACACAGAGTCAGCACAAGGTAGCAGAAGGAGCCCTGCGGAGGAATCCAGAAAGCTGTGTGTCCCCAGGCAAATTGCTTAGTGCCACTAGGCCTTTCTTGCCTCATCTTTGCCTTGGGATGATAGCCTGAATAGATTCCAGGTGCTCTTGGAATTCAGTCATAAGTCACCCTTAGCATGTGCTGACAGGTTCTAAGTGCTTTGTGTAGGGGTTAACTCATCATACAACCCTTTGAGCCCTATTCTTATACCCATTTTGTGCCTGAAACAGCACAGAGAGGTGCTCTTGTCTAGGGTCTCCAGCCAGGGGATGGTGGAACGCTCACACAGCTGTAACCTCTCTGCTCTTTTACAGTTTTCTTTTCTTTCATGGTAACAATACAGGGGCTGTGTTGTTATGGTAGTGTTGATCCCATCTGGGGGTATAAAGGTGGATTGGGATGGAAGGTAGATCTTAGGGGAATCCTGGCTCTGGGGTAGATGGCTGGGGGTTGCAGTGTGAGGGAACAAAAGCGGTGGCTGCAAAAGTTACTGACGTCGGCATTTCTTTTTTTCCCCTCTTTTCTTCTCTAGTCTGTGGCAAGCGCTACAAGAACCGGCCAGGACTAAGCTACCACTATGCCCACACCCACCTGGCCAGCGAGGAGGGGGATGAAGCCCAGGATCAGGAGACGCGATCTCCACCTAACCACAGAAACGAGAACCACAGACGTGAGTCCCTGCTGCTGGGGCAGTGAGGAGAGGTGTGGGCAGGGCTGTGGAACATTTCCTTTTGCAGCTCTGGCATTTTCTGGTGGCAGTGATTGACTAGCTTCAATGTCCCATGGTGAGTTGGCTCCCTCAGCTCAGCCAGCTACCACCTGGTGGCTCAGCTAAACCACTGGCTTAGAGTGAGTGGGGAAAGGCTTACAACCCAGCTCAGCTCCTGGAGGGAAGAAGGTAGGTAAGCATTCAGCAGAAAGGGTACGTCCTGCTAGGCTGCCATTGAATACCGGACCTGCCGTGTTTCCTTGGCTCTGGAACACGCATTCACCCCCGGGAGACACAGCTGGCTGGCTGTAGCCCATGGGGATGTCTCATGTCTGCTTAGCCTCTAAGAGATTTCAGATACTCTATTTTTAATAATTGACACTGTTTGGTTGCTGTCGCTTTGTTATAAGGGGTTACAATTTTGGATACAGGGCCTTAGAGATGTTGCCTGGAGCTCCATGTTCTTTGCTTGAGCACTCAAATGGCAAACGGGATCTGAGTGGATTTGCATTTGGGATGACAGTTGTCTCTGAGGACTCAAAATAATTCTGAAGATTTGTGTTTCCATTTTGCCTCTCTCTTTCCTTTAACTTCGGTATGAATTAGGGAATCAAAAAGAGGCTTACCACTTGATTTCCTTCTGTAAGATCCAGTAATGCCTCTGGGTCTACAAACACCTCAAAATGGAATGGGAAGGTGGGATCTTTAGAGCTAGTGTCAAGATGTGGGCCATGCTGAGATCACATGGTGGAGAAAATTTGTGGAGATGCAATGTGTAAAAAAATTAATGAAATTAAAATGATTAGACCTTTAAAGCAAATGAAACTCTAAGATTTAAAGATGACTTCATTCATTTTAGTCAGTTGAGTGCCTTCACCCAGTATCTGAAATAACACACGCGTTGACAAGACCTTTCTTTGGATTTAGGTCTAGTTTCCATTAACCCACTTATCACTTTCCCCTTGTAACACTGTCTTCTTTTTTAGTTTAGTAGGGCTGCCATAATAAAAGACTGGGAGGCTTAAACAGAATTTATTTTCTTCCAGTTCTGGAAGCTAGAAGTCCAAGGTCAAGGTGTCAGTGAGTTTGTTGCCTCCTAAGGCTCTTTCCCTGGCTTGCAGATGATCACCACCTGGTCACCCCTTTTCCAGGTCTTTCCTTTCTCTTCACAGGTGCCCTGTGGTCTCTTTTGGGTCCAAATTTCCTCTTCTTAAAAGGCCACCAGCCAGACTAGATTAGAGTCTATCCTATTGGCTTCATTTTGACTTTACTCCTTTAAAAACCCTGTCTCCAAATGCAGCTATATTCTGAGAAACTAGGGGATAAACTTTCAGTATAGGAGTGTGAAGTGAGGGGCATGATTCAGCCATAACACCTTCTTTAACTCAGCCTCATTTTCAGGATTCTGCCCTTTTGTGCGCAGACCCTTTCTTTCTTACTTTACTTTTGTCATCTGGGAAGAATCTGAAAAGCAGGGTAGGAGGTATCTGACAGTTTTGTCCTCTCTCCTCATCAGCATCTGAGAAGCTACAACACTGAGGTCCCCCTTGGGAGTTTTCTTTGCTCCAGCCACCCTAGTCTTTCAGAAAGGAAAATATTCTGACCTATGCTCAGCCAGCTGATACTTGTTTTTCCCTTGTCTGGTCTAAGTGACCAGGAGGTCACAAGGAGCTGCTGCTTTCTATCAGGAGGAGGCTAAGAGAAAACGCCTTTGATTTCTGGCCCTATGTGGAAAGTATTTATAGTGATTGTTGCTTACTCTGAAGTGTTTAGTAGCCTGGTATTAGTTTTTATTCTCCCAGTGACAGCTTATTTCCAAATATTTCCTCCATGTCAGACCATTTTATTCCTGTGCCTGGGTACCTTACTCACCCTACAGGGCAGTGGTAGTGAACCACGGCATGCATGCCACATTGGGCTGTTTGTATCACTGAAAGTTCTAAAAGGTTTGCCTTCACTTCTAAGGGGACTGAAATGCTTCTTTCCCAGTTCTCCTGTAGCCTCACTGTAGTAAGTGGTGTACATGCATGTGTGTCTGCACATGCTTGAATGTCATATGTGTGCATGTTCTTGCAATGGCCGAGGAGGGTGCACTGCAGGAAGGAAGTGGAAGTAGGCAGCCTCCTCCCTAGCACTTCCTGCTGTCTCCTCCAAATTGGTTCTTGACTTCTGAGACCAACACTGGTATGTTTTATTCTGTCCACCAGATCGTACTGTCCTGAGCTCTCATCGATAGGTGTCTTCAGCTTCCTGTGCCCTCCCTGTGAGGCCGTTCAGTCTTGCTTAGTAAGGAAGCTGTGCTTGCTTTTCTTCTTCCTGTATGAAGACACCTCTCCGAGAAACGTTGCCTGATACTTGTCCCCATCTCTCTGTAGGCCTGTGGGTGAGCATGTGCATTCTACCCCCTCTCCCCTCCTTTTCCTATCTCATATTGCTGGGTTCTTCACAAAGAAACACTTGCCTGGCCATGGGCTTTAAGCCTCAGAGAAAAGAGGTAACTGGACTGATTTGGGGCCTCCTCATATGATGAAGGTTCCAGAACCCTCACACGTTTTTCTTGACATTTCTTCTACAGTGCCCTTTTTGAGAACTCTGTGATCAACCCCAACTTCACTAATGGGGAGGTTGCAGCAGGGAAACGTTCTTGTTGTCTGGAGAAGTCACAATCCTTCCTCCTGTCCCTGATTCTCAGGACAAACCCCAAGGCAGCTGCTCTCCATGGGTTCTGTGCACTGTAGTCACCACTGATCTGCTTGCTGCTCCAAATGTGTGCTCTGTTTGCTCCCACATTCCCCTGGTGAGAAACCCCCCACCATTTCTCTGTGAGCACTAATTGCTAGCGTCATTAATACCCAATCACTAGCTGCTCCCACTGTCTGGGGCTGGGGCTGGGCTCCCATCCATCGTGCCACTAAACGCCACTGGGCTGTGTGGTGAATTGAGTGTGACAACTCAGCAGTACCCTGAGGTCTCTCAGTTTTGCTATCCTCCTTAGCAGGGCTTTGGGTGTGGGTGGGTGGGGGTTGCAGGAGAGCTAATCCAGGAGGCTAATCTGTAGCTCCCCCAGGAGAAGGTCTGGATGCTGGCGGAGAGGAAATGCTGACTTTCCTCTGTTGGCAGAGCTCAGGTGACCCAAGGTGCTCTCATGGAATAACAGCCCTACAGATACAGGAGTGTGCGGGGCCACGGGCAGCTGGTTCACACCACCCGCAGCACACGAGACCTTTTGACTTTGGTCCTCCTGCTGTCCCTTGCTCTGTCCCCTCCAACTGTTTCTTCTGCAGAGCCCATTACTCATCGCTGCGTCTGCTGCTGCTGTGGAAAGGGTAGAGGGCTTGCTGCAGCCAGAACTGACCTTCCCTTCCCACTCCCTCCCTGCTGCCCAAGCTGCCAGCTCAGCAGTTGACTGCCACTTTTCCTGTCTTCCAAGCCCTCCCAGCAGATGCACTGTCGCCTTTGTTTCTCTCCTAATGTCTCATTTTCTCCTGAGTATCCACTTCTGTGTCTCCTGTGGATGTCTTTTTCTCTCTGTGCTCCAGGCTTTCTGCCTGAAGGCGAGAATGCTTGGAGCTCACACCCATGCCCTAGTGTGAGGGCACCTCCTTACTTGGGCTGCTGTCCTTCTGCTTCCTGCTTGAGGCTTACTTCCTTCTTCTCCCTCCATTTCCCTTACCACCTCCATCTGCTCTCTGCAAAAAACCCCCCAAAAAACAAAAAACAAAACACACCCCCCAAAACTGTGTTATGTGTGTGTGTGTTTGTGTATGTATCTATGTACATATATGCGCACAAACAGCTACACTGTAGACATGAATCAAAGGAGAGAAGGCTTGGGGATCGGCACCCTGACGGTGCCACTCAGAAGTATTCTGTTGGGACCCCTTAAATGCAACCTCAGTAAACAGGATTGGAATTCACATCTCAACGACTGGGTGACAATGTCAGAACTCCTCTTGAATTTCCTTTTAATTTCTCTGCACAGTTACAATCTATTATAGGTGATGTTTTCAAGATACTTTTTGGGGTGAGGATGGACTAAGTTGAAAAAGCTGTGCCAATATATTCAGTGCCATCCATCCCTGCATGCATCTTTGCATCTGCCCATCGGCTTGGTAGCCACTGAGTACTGACTACTTGCCAGGACTCAGAAGCACAGACACAAATAAGACTTAGCCCTATCCTTGAATGGCCTGTAGGCTGGAGTGGGAGACAGAAGAGTGAGGGCACTAAGATCTTAAGGGCACAGCGTTCTTTCTGTAACTTGAGGCAGTTGTGCTCTGAGTGTGGCACCAACATCCCTTGGGGACTCATGGGAAGTTCAAGTTCTGGGGTTGCACCAGACCTCCCGATATAGGGACTTGCATGAAAGGACCAGTGCAAGGTGTTTTAAAAGACCCTCCAGGGCATTCTGGTGGACACTGAAGCTTGAGGCTCATTGTACTAAGGGCTTTGAGGAAATGACATTCAAATTAGCCCTTGGAAAAGGAGGAGGAATTGTCACGAGGAAGAGAACATCCTAGGTTCCAGGAGGGAGCTGTATGTACAAAGGTGGGAAGTATTAAACAGTATGATGTGTTCAGACAATTGGTTTGTAACTGTGTCTACTATAGTTTTGGATTTAGGGGATGCAGAGGAAAAGCTGTAAATGTAAGCAGGACCCACACTTGGAGGCATCTTTAGGAAATGTGGATCCATGGTAGCAATTACTAGAAGGCAAAAATGAATGATTTATAATGAAGTCCTTATATGGTATATTTCTTTAATTGCATAAGTGAACATAACATACTCTCAATAACATACTTGGAATGTGTAAGAGGAAAATGTTTTTAATACATGGTTCTGTAAAATTTATCTCCAGCTTATTGTTCATGTGCATGAAACTGAATTTGGGGGTCTTTGGAGGTTTATGTGCCTGGGACGAAATTAGGCTTTCTGTCTCTTTTGTGGAAAATAATGGTTCA